CTCCCCCACCTTGTGCCCTCGCTAGTAGTTATGGTGGGGAAATATGGTGGGGTGGGGAAGTAGATATATGTTGCTAAGGGTAAAGTATTATAAAATTTAGAAAGCAAGTTTTTTTTAGAAAGAGATAGAAGGTTATTGGCAGAAATTCTGGCAAAGAGAAACGAATTAGAAAACCTAGAGATAGAGAAAGTCCAGAGGGATTTCATGTACTTAAAGAGGAATTTTTTTGAATTTAGTAATAAAAATTCAAAATTATTAACTAGAATGTGTAAAAACAGAAGATTAAAAACACGATTGGTGTAATTAAAGATAGATCAGGTAAGAGTTGTAATATAATGAAATGTAAATTGAAGATTTTTCATGAATTTTATCAGAAATTATATAAAGGAGACAATGTACTGAAAGAAAATATAGAAAATTATATAAATGAGAATTTAAAAACTAAATTATTGGAATCTAATAAAAGAATACTATAAGAAGATATTATAGAAGAAGAAATTGTGGAAGTTATTAATAAACTGAGGAATGCTAAAACACCAGGCCCTGATGGATTGGGTCCAGAATATTATAAACATCTTAGTTTCTTATTGATACCTAAGCTAAAAATGTTTTATAGTAAGATATTGGAAGGAGAGACAATGCCACCTTCTTGGAAATACTCATTAATGATTCTTATCCCAAAACCCAATAGAACTGAGATTATAGGCCTATATCTCTAATAAATCAAGAGGCTAAGATTTTTATTGCTATATTTGCAAATAGATTACCGTATTTTTCGCTCCATAAGACACACCTTTCCATAAGACGCACCAATTTTTAAGAGAAGAAAACAGGAAAATATAATCTGTTTTCTTCGCTCCATAAGACGCACAGACTTTCCACCCCCCTGTTTTGTGGGGAAAAAGTGTGTCTTATGGTGTGAAAAATACGGTAAATAGATTTATAGCAAATTATATTAAATTATATTAAGGAAGATCAATGTGGCTTTGCAAAGGGTAGACAAATGGATAATTTAACTAGGTGAGTTTTCAATATTATATATGAGGTAGAAAAGGAAAAAGCAAAGGCAACTGTTTTATCATTAAACATATTTAAGGCCTTTGATTATGTGGAATGGCCAACATTAAAGCTGCTTATAAAGGGTTGGGGATTTGGTAGAAGATTTATAGGAGTTATAGATCAATTATATTCAGACAATACTTCAGAAGTAATAGTTAATGATGGTATAACAGAGCGGAATTTTCTAGGCCGAGGTACAAGACAAGGCTGTCCACTTTCACCAATATTGTTTTGTATGGTTATAGAAATGTTACCTAATGCAATAAGAAATGATAAATTAATTAAATGATTAGGTAAAATGATACAATTAAGATTAATTTATTTGCTGATGATTCATTATTGACCATTAAAAACCCATTAGAAAGTATGGATAAAATTAAAAATCATTTAGAAAAATTTGGGGAAAAGACAGGACTATTATCTGCCAAAAACACAAATAATGATGTTTAATTATAATAAATATGAACAAGAAATGATTGTAAATAAATGTGGTTTTAAAATGCATAATGATATTAAGTATTTAGGTATAAATATAGTTAAAGTGACCCAAAATTAAAGGAACAAAATTTTAATAAATTAAAAAGTGATATTAAAGATAAATTGCAGGAGTATTCTAAATTGAAATTATCATAGTTTGGGAGAATCACTATGATTAAAATGAAAATATAACAAAAATTACTTTTTTACTTTTTTATTTTAAATATTGGTATAAATCTCAAAAAATGGAGGTTCAGGTATTCCTAATATCTCAAAAAATAGAGGTTCAGGTATTCCTAATATAAAAAAAATTATATAGCGAAACAGTTAAGATTTATTGGAGTTATTATATATAACAAAGGAAGGTCAATTTGGTGGGATATGGAATCCTCAGAAATAAATGGGAATATTGAAAAATACTTGTTTATTGTAGTAAAAAGAAATATAATAAATCAGGTGAATAACCCTTTTTAAGAAACATGTTAAAACAGAAATAAAATCAAGTTATGTCCCTTAACTTCACCACTGAAATTGGTGACTGAAATAGAAAATTTTCCAGCAAACTTGAAGGGTTTAGCTAATTTATTTAAGGACAAAAAAGTTGCCAGGCTGAAGGATTGGATGACTAAAATGAGACTGAAGGATCAGATCATAGTTAAACTTCAAACTAATAAACTATCATGGTATAATTATATCCAATTAGATAGTTGGACAAATGAATGGTTGAAAACTAATGGCAAATGTAGAGAATGTACGAACAATTCCTATCATCACATGAAGACATGCAGAAAGATGCTTTGAGGAAGGGAGTAGTGAGTAGAATTTACAATTTGGGAATCATGTTCCCAAATTGATTTCAAACCTTCTATTTCTGTCTCTTTTTCTTCTTTTCCAAAATTATGTTATACGAGTATAACCTAATTTTGGAACAAGAGGAATAAAATAGAAATAGAAGGTTTGAAAGCAATTTGGGAACATGATTTAAAGACAGAAATTAAAACAGAGGATTGGACGAAAAATTAGAAGACGAGAGTTTTAAGATTAATGTCCGTAGAAGACAAGAGTTTTAAGATTAATGTCCGTAAGAATAAGGGATTTTTTTTTTAAAAATAGTTTAATGTGGTACATGACTCCAGTGAAATTGAATATAATAAATTCAGATTATTCTAAGGCCTGTTGGAAATGTGATGAAGAAACTAGCATGTATTATATGTGGTAGGAGTGTAAATGGACTCGGAAATTTTGGAAACTAATTTTTAAGGAAATATGTGATATATTTGGAAAAGATATTGAATTCAATTCTAAAATTGCTTGGTTGTCAATTTTTGATAAGCTAGAACTTGATTACTGCTAAAAGGAATTCATTTCCAATTTTATGACAAGCAGTAGAATATTAATAGCCAGATTCTGGAAAGATAAAAATTATATTAAATTAGAAGATTGGTATAATGAAGTATGGGACATTGCATTAAATGATAAATTGACTACTGAACTGAAGATGAAAAGAAGGGAAATAAGTTCAAATATTTTTATGCTATTTGGGGTAGATTTATTGAATTTGTATTAGTGAAAGGAAAGGGGACAGCATCTAAACAACAATCAATACAATTCTGGAAAAGAGGTTTGTATTAAAAGTATTGCTCCATAGGGTCCCTGGGTATGGGGGTGCACTGTGGTTTAGATTGTAATAGTGAGTGATTGTATTTTGTATTTGTATTTGTTTTGGAAATTTAAAAATAAAATTTAAAAAAATAAAGGCAAGAAATCAGACAGCCCTGAAATTGGAACAGAACTGGCCTAATATGAACATAAGAGTTGCATTAGATCAAAACCAAAGTCCAACTAGTGTAATATGCCATTCCCAAATGGCCAAGCAATTGCCTCTTAGGAATCCCACAAGATGACCACGTGGGGTACATGTTTCTTTTCAGTAGCCCTGTATGATGTGTTCCTCGTGGCGCAGTGGTTAAACTGCTGTACTGCAGCCAATATGGTACTCACAACCCGGGGTTCAATCCCAGGTAGCTGGCTCAAGGTTGACTCAGCCTTCTATCCTTCCAAGGTTGGTAAAATGAGTACCCAGCTTGCTGGGGGGGGGCAATGTGTAGCCTGCATAATTAACTTGTAAACCACCCAGAGAGTGCTTGATGTGCTATGGGGCAGTATATAAGCAGCACGCTTTGCTTTGCTTTCCTGGAAAATCCAGATTCCAAAATCACACAGTACTGTATTAATTATGCAGGAATGCAATACTCTGCTTGATTTACAAATGTGATCCATCCTCAACAACACTTATTTTCTTAGTTAAAGTAAAAAATTGCAACCATGAAGATAGGCTTGAAAATGAGTGAGCAATTTCTTCAGAAGAAGAGGGATGGTCTAGGGAAGAGTTCTATTGATTATGGTGGGTTAGTTCAGTGTGCTCTTTTTACCATGTTCCATTACCAGCAAAATCACATTTCTTATCCAGCATAAGCAATTACATAAATATTTGATTTATCTCTGTACTTTTAACACACTATCGCACTTAGAATGCTTGATACAAAAAGTAGATTCATTTATTTTTGAACTTTGTTTACCAGTTTGATATCTGTAAACCTTCAGTGATGAAACATGGGACTACCAGGGCTAGATAGCAATGCCATATGTTGTTATAGTAAGGAAATTAGCAAGACTGCCCACTCCTTGCTTTGGAAGCATTTAGTCTACATCCATACATTCGACATGCAGGACTTATAACATGGTATAAAATACCTACCAACCAGAAGCTGTTTTATTATTGACTCTGTTTTTCTTTTATTTAGAACGTTTGTAAAGCTGCTGTATTTGTAATGCCAGTATTTGAATTGTATTGCTAATACTTTATTTCAGATACCATAACACATTCTTTGTGACATAAGCTATATGGAAAACTGATCTGAAAATTGGGATATAGATAAATCAATAAAATATATACTTAAGAGTTTTCATAACGTTGGAATGATGGGATGGAATAGTATACACAATACAGTCTGACCACCACATCTGGCCATGGGTTTTGGGATATTCTTGTTTCTTTTGTGCATGCACACACACATCATCACCTCTGTAATGCCCAGCCTGATAAAAGAGTCCTACTGGGCTCAAAACTTAGTGATAAGTTTTCAGTGATAAAGATACCATCCACTCTTGTTTTCTAATCATAACATTCTAGAATCTGATGTGCTAAGACTGACTGCAACCAAGAAAGGCTTGTGTGAGCCACACAATCAAGAACACAAACATGATAGAGCTGTAGGAATACATTCTGGGCAATTGCCTTAGGATGCAAGATAATGAGATTACCAGCTCTCAAAAGTGAACAAACATTTCCTCATTCTTCCCATCACTGAAGCAGTGCTCTAATCCATAGTGCTCCCAAGGAAACAAGATACAAGATTCATGAACCCATCCAAACCCATATTAAAAAAAAGACAGATACGTACCAATGTTGGAATGCTTCAAGAGACGGCAAATTCGAGCTTCTCGCTCCAACTTCTGATGATCTAGAGATAAAATAAAGAACAAGCACTGTTTACCATCATACAAAAACGAATTAATTTTGAGTATGTTTTCTTCTTCATTTCATTTTTCCCAGAATATCAAAGCATGAGTTACCATTTCTTTGGTATTACAACCAGTTTATCAGCTACAGTACACAGAACTGACAGTAGTAAAATTGTAGAGTGGATTACTTCAGACCTAATGTGAAAAGTCCTATTTTTTAATGTTCCCTACTTAAACAAACAACAATAACACTTTCAGCCTAACCAACTTCATATTGAGTAAATTTTCTACTTGTAGTGATTTTGTTTTAAAAAACAAACAAATATCAAGGGACATTCAAAAAAATTTAATTGTTCTTCTACCCACCTCAAATGGCCATTTGAAACAATATGGCTCCTTGTGGCACAGTGGTCAAAGTGCTGTACTCCAGCCAAAACTGTGCTCACAACCTGGGGTTCAATCCCAGATAGCTGGCTCAAGGTTGATTCAGCCTTCTATCCTTCTGAGGTCGGTAAAATGAGTACCCAGCTCGCTGGGAGGGCAATGTGTAGCTTGCATAATTAACTTGTAAACCTCCCAGAGAGTGCTTGAAGCACTATGGGGCGGTATATAGGCAGCACACTTTTCTTTGCTTTTACCACTTCATTTTGTTACCATAATCTTAGGTTGGTAGGTAGGCAAGCAGGCAGGCAGGTCGATAATGACACTCATTTATATCCTGCTTTTTCACTACAAAGTAACACAATCGCTGCAAGGTAAAGTTTGGTTAAAAAGCTCAAAACTAAACATGTTTCTTCAGATACCAACTCAATTAATTTTGGTGAAACTATTAATGATTAGGTAATAATTACTTAAGAGTTATAAGCTGTTACTACTGGAACATACAGCAGTAGTTCCAGAATCAGTTAGAAATATATTATACGAAGCACATGGAAGGTTTTAGAACCCAGACAACTTTACTTGATCCAAATACATATGAATCACACTATTAAAAGAATTCTTTTGGCAAGTAAACTATGTCTTTAGAAGGATATCATAAGTAACACAAAACTAGTGGTCTGGTGCCATCAGGGCTTGCAGGAAACAGGAACTATGAGCATGACTGCATGGCCAAACACCACAGGATTTACTCAGTTTATAAGATGGGTGAATACGAAGGTCTACATGTTTACATGATGTAAATGGCTGAATTGAATGGGTCCAATTTTTTTTTCTGCCAAACTGGCTTTTTTTCTCTGCCTGTCAAGGGCTGCAGCTTTTTCATAGAATGAAAGAAAAGTGAAGTTGGGAGGGGCCTACAAGGCCATCCAGTCCAACCCCCTGCTCAGTGCAGGAATAGTCAAAACACATCTGCCAGGTGATTATCCGAGTTTTTCTTGAATGCCTCCAGAGTTGGAGCACTCACCAACTGCCGAGGTAACAGGTTCATGCTGGGAGGTTTTGACTGGGCTTTCCCCCCTGCAGACATTGTTGTAAAGACAGGGGCATGTCTGTAGCACGAGCATCCACCTTTCCTATGCCAAGCCACTTGGAATCCCCAGAGGGAATACATAGCTGAGAGCCAGAGAAGTTCTACCTGGCTTGTGTGCAAAAAATGCCTGGTACTGTTGCACTGGCACACATACCCTCTCTCTCCGTCCTCCTGAACCATATCAGGTGACACTTGCAACTCTTCCTTTCCCCTACCGCCCCCAGCAATCTGATATCAAGCCAACACATCCATTAACCCCTCCTGTGACTGGTTCCTGGCTGTACATATAAGAATCATGTCACATCTGGAAGATTTCTGAGAAAGTTCAGCTTGTTTATTTATTTATTTATTTATTTGATTTATACCCCACCTATCTGGCCCACCGGACTACTCTAGGCGGCTTCCAATATAAAATCAGATAATAAAAACATAGACAAATACATAATAAACAGCAACAGCAGTAAAATAAAGGAAAAGTAAGAGAGAAATCAAGAATTGGCTAGAGGGAAGGCCTGGATAAATAACCATGTTTTTAGTTGGGTTTTAAAGGTGCCCAGCGTGGGGGCCGTGCAAATCGCCGGACGGAGATTGTTCCAGAGGCGAGGAGCCACTGCCAAGAAGGCCCGGGTTCGTGTTTTCTCCTTCTGGGCCTCTCTCGGCATCAGGCTCCTCAGCCTCCCCTCCCGACTCGTGCAGGTGATCCGGGCAGACCTTGGTGGGAGGAGGCGTTCCGCCAAATATTGAGGTCCTAAACCGTTTAGGGCCTTATAAGTAAGCATTAAAACTTTGAAGTTGACACGGAAACAGATGGGTAGCCAATGCAATGCGGCCAGCATTGGAGAGATGTGTTGGTATTTCCTCACTCCTGTAAGGAGCCTGGCCGCCGCATTCTGCACCACCTGAAGTTTCTGTGTCAGCCTCAAAGACAGCCCCATGTAGAGCATGTTACAGTGATCTAATCTTGAGATTACGAGCGCATGCACCAAGGTAGTGAGCGCCCCCTCACAGTTATTTTCCAAACTGTAATCCCTTGGATAAACTGCTTAATTAATGATAGATTTTGTGAATCTTTGTAAATTCAGACTATTGTATATACATTCATGCTAACATTTTATAGGTATCTTTGGTTGAAAGTAGTTTTCTTAGATGGGGACGTTAACCCTACCCCCATGCTCTCTCCTCTCCCTGACTGTGCTCTGACAGGCCACATAACTAACCACATTTCTTCCATGGGGTAAAGCCTGCTGCTGTCCTTATAGCAGAAATAAGCATGTTATCTTTCCACACAGAAAATGTGACTTCTCCTGTACTTCAAACTGATGAAAAATTGTTAAGGTTTATAATTGCCATCTCTGTAAACTAATGTTTAGACTGGAAACGTATAGCCCAGGCTTGGGCTGTTTTTTTTAACCTTTATGCAGCTTCTAGTTGTTCTATGTGCCCTAAAGTTGAAGCGAAATACACATGTGTGTTTTCTTGTCTCACATTTTCTTCTATCCTATGACACTTCTGCTTTGTTGTTTCTAATCAGCTATTTTTGTTCAAGTTTAAAGAGTTATTGTCATGTCTGTTCAAGAGACTGAGACCCTTGTAAAGGTCTAATTTGGCTTATTCAAATGCTGTGCCAAACCAAAGTCTAGCGTTACATGAGCAAATCTGAGACTTTCATGCTCCTTCTTTTCCTTACCCCTTTCGTTTCCTTATTCACAGCAAGATGGAATATTCAGATTGATTATGCTATCCTGTCAGATCAGATGTTCATAATCTGTCCAAAGGCAGTTAAATGAAGATCCACTACAGGCTTATAGGTCAATATATGTCTGCCTGCCTTCAGGATTTGAGGATTTCATTTGTAGGAATGCTGTGCAATATGGATTTCCCCCACATATTTTCCACACTGTTGAAGTAAATAAGTTATTTAGGACTGATTATTGTGAGTCTGAAAGAATGTTGGTGAAGGGCACATTTCTAAGAAGTGAAGAAGACTGCTGTGAGTCCACAAATCTGAAATAATCATAAAATGTAAAGGAAAAATACTATAGCATGTCATCATTCATGTCCAGAGGCGGCCAACAAGGATGATCAGGAAACTGAAAACCAAGTCCTATGAGGAAAGACTGAAAGAACTGGGCATGTTTAGCCTTGAGAAAAGAAGACCAAGGAGAGATAGAATAGCACTTTTCAAATACTTGAAATGTTGTCATGCAGAGGAGGGGCAGGATCTGTTAGCAATCATCCCAAAGTGCAGGACACATAATCACAGGCTCCAGTTACAGGAAGTCAGATTTCAACTGAATATCAGGAAAAATTTCCTGACTGTTAGAACAGTGTAACAATGAAACCAGTTACCTCAGAAGCTAGTGAGCTCTTCAACACTGAAGGCAGTCAAGAGAAAGTTAGGCAGCCATCTTTAACTTAGATTCCTGCATTGAACAAGGGGTTGGACTTGATGGCCTTATAGGCCCCTTCCAACTCCATGATTCAGTGTTCACTCCTTTTATCATGGTTGCTGAAAACTCCTGAACAATATCTCTACAACAACCATGGAACAGCTTTCTCCTGCAAGTCAGGGAAGGCTGTTTTGTTTTTTTTGTCTTCTAAACTCCAGTCTCCAACCTTATTCATATTTCTGGGAAAATCTCCATAATTATGACTGCAATACTTGAATTGATTTGTACATTTGCATAATTTATTCCAAGCAGAGTGTTAGAGTTTCTTTTTTAATGGAAGGTACAGACAGTGCTGCTAATACTGTTTATGAACCACCCTCCATGATGAGTCAGAACTTGGGTGAAATCTATCAGGCCTTGAAGAAAAGGGAACGGCCCACTGAGGGCCTGGCAACCTAGCCCTGCTCAGAGGGCTGAGGAACTGATCACGACAGATTTGTGCCTTCAGCTTTTTATTCCATAGACCCACATACCCATACAAATCTAACCTCCTACTCAGGTTTTCAACAAAAGACAACAATCATATGCAGTGCCTGCCTTCCACGACAGGTGGGTGGTGCTATGTGTTGTTAACTGAATCACATAATAGGAAGGAACAAAAAGGTCCTGGCACAACATGGTGTCCGTAACCACCAGCTCATGTAAATCAGCCTTACAAATTCAGACAGGAATTTTTAAAAACCTCTCTTGTTTCCATTTTGTTGTGCTTATGTGAATCCCCAATCTTTTCCAAACCTATTTCATTTTGAGTTGCAATATTTCTTTTTCTCCTCACACTGAAATTTGTACAGTTTTTTCATGTCCTAATGTGAGCATTTAATGAGACATTTTCCTTCATAGACTGAAGTGTTGTGCCTATATCTCCAGCTGTACACATTTTAACTATCTCTATATTTAAATAAGCACACCACAAACACCCTGTATATCCTGCAAAGTTGTGAATTCCTGAGAGAAAGTTTATTTCTTCCTACAAGTCCCAGAATATGTGAAAATCCTTCATTCACTTAAATTCCTGAATTCACCAAATATGATTTCCTTCCCTGAATACAAATCATCGCTCATCGTTTGTATTGCATTC